GAGGAGGAGGAGGAGGAGGAGGAGGAGGAGGAGCGATCTGCGCTGCAAGGACGCCGGGGTCGCTGAAGTCAAGCAGTGGCGAAGCGTCCTGGCTCGCCTGTTAGCCCTACCAGACAATATTCTAAGAACCTTTTTGTGGTTTCCACGGAATGTTCTTAGAACATTTCTGGCGGGGTCTATCTTGTTTTATCACATCGGGTTGATGTTCTAAGAACATTATTTTGGCTCTTAGAAAATTCGGGGGTTCTGAGAACATTTCGTGGTAGGACTCTAGGAATGCCGGGACGGTCGGTCCCTGCTCAACAAGTCGGCCGGCATCGAGCGATTTGCGCTGCCAGGACGCTGGGGTCGCTCAAGCTGGAACGGCCCCACGCGGTGCCAGAGACCAGCGCCGACGTCGTCAGGGCACGAGCTTGCCGCACACCCACTGCCTGCCTGCGTAGACCTTGGACCAGCGGGGTCCCACCAGCTGGGGCTCAGACCCGGCGGCGAGCGAGGGTGGGAAGTGAGAAGGAGATGGCCCTCTCAGGAGGCGGTGGGACCTCTCAGAAGGCCCCCGGCCTTCCGAGGAGTTCCCTGCGCTACTCGGGGAAGGCTTGGAAACCTGTTCCGAAGGCCGAGGGACTTGCGAGCCTTCCGAGAAGGCCTTCTCTCCGTCTCACATCCCCCCCCCGGCTCGCCACCGACAGACACTCGGCCCGGATCAGTAGGTTGACCCTGCCAGCTCAAGGGTGCCCTTGCGTCCTGTGCCTCGCGACACGTGCCTCCTTACACTCCAGTGGCGACGTGGCCTTCGGCAGGGTCTCGTGCCCTCTCCACCGAAGTCCTATCTTGGCCCTGTCCCACTGACGTCGTGTCCGCTCTCCACTGACGCCGTGTCCTCTCCCACCGAGTGGGCGTTCTCTCCATTGACGTCGTGTCATCTCCCACTGACGTCGTGTCCTCTCCCGCTGAGTGGGCGTTCTCTCCCACTGATCAGTCGTGTCCTCTCCCAACCCCCCGCGCTCCAGGGGCGATGTGGCCTTCGGCGTGCCCTCTCCACGGAAGTCCGAGTGAGCAGTACCGCTTTTCATACATGCTCCGCGTGCGGATCATGTATGAAAAAATGCAGGGACTCAGTACTGAAGACAACGATGAAGACAACGATGAGTGCATGCACAAATTTATTCATACATGGATCATGTAGGAAAAATCCGATGTTTTTTTAAACAAAAAATCCCAATGTGTTAACAACTGCCTTGTGCCCTGCCCTGCGGGCACGCGCGGGGCGCCCGCGGGCCCCCGCCTCGGTGGGCCGCCGCCGGGGGGGGGCGCGGCAGGCTCGCTCTCCGTGCCGCTCCGGCGGCGGCCCCGGGCGCGGGCGTGCGGCGGGTCGGACGCCGCGGGTGTCGGGGGCGGAAAAGAGGGGGGTGATGACTAGGGGGGGGGGGTGATATCCTCGTCCTCCTCCTTCTCCTCCTTCTCCACCTTCTCCTCTCCTATCCTCCTCTCCTCCTCCTCTCTCCTCCCCCTCCTCCTCCTCCTCCTCCTCCTCCTCCTCCCCCAGATTTCGTGGCGCCTCTTCGCATCTCATCACGTCCCTGGCCCCCCCCCGCGGGGCCGCGCACGTGCCGCCGGCCATGATTTGCACCCCCCGCTCTTGGACACCCCCCTCTTGGCCGCGCCCGAGGGGTGGCCCGGCGTCGGCCGACAGCGAGCGCTCGGCGCCGTGGGGAAGCCACGATGCAGGGGAGGCAGAGGCAGAGGCAGAGGAGGAGGAGGAGGAGGAGGAGGAGGAGGAGGAGGAGGAGGAGGAGGAGGAGGAGGAGGAGGAGGAGGAGGAGTGGTAACAGTCTTCTTAGTAGTAGACACCTCCACCCGCCGCCCGTCTTTCCCCTTCTGGGGGGCCTCCTGGGAGGTCCTCGTCGCCACCGCTGGATTCGCCGCGAAGTCCTGGTCAGAACGCACCCCGGGAGAGGTCCGGGGAGTGGCGGTATCGGTACCTCTTGGTTTCCCCAACGATCGCTGAAAGCCGGGGAGCAAGCTTTTCTCCCAACCATCCTGTGGTGTTGGGTCCTCGTTTTGAAGAGACGGCGCCCCGCGTTGCTTCCTTCCTTCCTGCCTTCCTTCCTCCCTTTTCCCTCCTCCCTCCTCCCATCCCTGCCTCTGCTCTGCGCAAAGCCGGGGAACAACCTTTTTCTTACGTCGCAGCGCGGCAGAGGCAGTCCGCACGCGTGCTCGGGCAAGCGGGGGTGATGGCATTGCAAATTGGCCGGATGCACGAGGTAAAGGAGAAGGAAGAAGAAAGGAGGGAGAAGGCCGGGGAACAAGCAACGACATGAAAATACTAATTCGGAGGTCCGCGCGGATTCCTCGGATCGGCGCTGGGTACCCCTGGCGGCGCATCCGGCGCCGCCCCTGGCGCGCTCCGCACGCCAGAGAGGGGGGTCCAGCGCCGATCTGGGGAAGCCGCGCGGACCTCCGATTCTTATGTTTGTGTCGTTGCTTGTTCGACGATGAACGTTCCACGCGCTGTCAGAAGCCAGCGCAGAAGCCGTTGTGGCACGAAGCTGCCGTAGAGTTCACACGTGGCTGCCTGCACATGCATCCCCCTTCGAGGGGACTGTTGGTGGAAGGGGCCCTGCGCTGGGAGTTGTCCTCCGTTGCGCGAGCACCCCTCCCATCCCCACCTGAGTATTGTCAGGAGGGGAAGATATACACAGAGACAAAGAAACGTCGATTCCCAGGAAATGATGGGGCCAATTGGGAAGTTGAGAGGAACCCGAACATCCGGGAAACATGTGCCAAACGGATGGGCAATCTTCGAATGTGTGCTCACCCATTTGTGTGTCCCTGGGCCCCTTCACGTCGGTCGGCTGTCCCCTCTCAACAGAAAGCGCGGCGGGAGCCGTGGGGTGATGAGCCTCGTCCCCAGCTGGGCCGCGCCTGTGCGCATGGCCTGTCCTGGGCAGCACCCCGTCGTGCCGCCGGCCGCGCGCTCTGCTGCCGCGCTCGGGGCGGGCGTCGGGGCGAGGGAGGGAGTGGCGGGGCGCGCCCAGGGCTTGGCATCGCTCGGACGTGTGCATTTTTCCTTCGGCGAGGGCCCTCGAGGAGCATCCTCGATCAATTTGGCGAAAAAAACACGCACGAGATCGAAAAGAAGCACAGGGAATGGACGTCCGAGCGATGGCCAGAGGGAGCAGTGGCCACGGAACGAGTGCTTCGCCCAAACTTCTAGTTTGGGGCGCCACTCCTGGCCCGGATGGCAAGAGGTCGCCGGGGCGTCGTCACCAAAGCGAACGCATGTTTGGCCCGATGCGCCGCAGGGCCGAATCGTCTGCTTCGCAGGACCTGAGCGCAACTCAAAAGAACAAGCATGGGCCCGACACACACAAACAACCACACACACACCACCCACCAAACCACCACAACCCAACCCGAAGGCCTCCTAAGACCCTCCATTCCCAGCGGGGGGGGGGGGCGTCGAGGAACATTGGAAAGCCACATCAGGAATTCGGGTCTTCGGATTGGTTTGGGGTGGTCTGGTAGGTAGTCGCACACATACAAAAACACCGCTGCAAGCTCGGTGGCGGATATGCCTGCCGCCTGAAAGTTCACTTGGCCATCGCAGCCGCGGCATACACCGCCTGGCGTGGTGTGTGTGTGTGTGTGCGTGTGTGTGTGTGTGTGTGTGTGCGTGTGTGTGTGTGTGTGTGTGTGTATTTTTCTTGTAGGTGCGCACGGTCAGAGGCGTGACCCGCTCACGGGAGTTCGTGGTGTATCTTTGTATTTTGTTCGGTGCCTCATTGCGGGGAGAGGCGTTGAGCAGCGCGGGCGGCTGCAATAAGGGGAAGGGCGAATGAAGAGCAGGCGTGACGAGAGCACGGGTGCAAACGTGCGAACTGAATTTTGCAGCAGAGCTGTTGATGCATAGTTCTTCTCGTAAGTTCTTTGCACATGTAAATCCCCAGCGCTGTCTGTACCCTGAGTGCTGCTGCTATCACTGGCGCACGCGCAGCTCTGGTGACTTTGGCGCGGTCCGCAGGGATGCCTCAAGAGCTGTGGAAGTTTTTATTTATTGACCGCTCGCAAAGGCAAGTGGGGCGCAGATCAGCGAATGGACGCGGCAGTGCCTTCGCGATTCTCTTGCGCTAGGCTTCAGTCCGCAACCGACTGCTGTCACACCGCACGAGCGATGTGTTCTGACCAGGTGCCCGTGCTTCGCCAACGGGTGAAGCACGCACGCGCGTCAGCGCTAGAATTTGCTCTGGCGATGCCTGCGAGGATTGAATTCGGATGCGCTGCCAGCACAGGCCGTTGGCAGGGAATCCGCCTCGGCCGGGAAGGAGGGTGTCTTGGCATCGCTCGGACGTGTGCATCTCGTCTCCCTGCGAGGACACGAGGAGTCTTTTTTGGGCCATCTGGGGAACACATACAGTAGGGGTCCTGAAGAAGGAACCCTTTTCGTTTGGGAGGGGCTCCGCGTTCCTTAAGTGTTTCACAGCTTGCCTCGGGTTTTCCTGATGTTTTCGATGGGAAATCGAGGTTTAACTTGTGGGAAAGGAGGGGCCTCGTTCCTTATTTAGGGTTCCTCAGGTCAACGCCCCCGACTGTGCGCGCACGACGTCGAGGAAGTGCACGGGGGGAGGGCTGTCCGAGCGATGGCGAGGTGTGCGGAAGCGGCGCGCACGAGGCGCGCCCCTCGACCCCCGCCCTTCGAGACGCTCGCCGCCCGACATGCGCGCACGACGTCGAGGAAGTGCACGGGGGGAGGGCTGCCCGAGCGATGGCGAGGTGTGCGGAGGAGGAGGAGGAGGAGGAGGAGGAGGAGGAGGAGGAGAGGAGGAGGAGTAGAGGGAGGAGAGGAGGAGGAGGAGGCGGAGGAGGAGGAGTAGTGAGGAGGAGGAGGAGGAGGAGGAGGAGGAGGAGGAGGAGGAGGGGGAGGGGGAGGGGGAGGAGGGGGAGGAGGGGGAGGAGGAGGAGGAGGAGGAGGAGTAGGAAGGAGGAGGAGGAGAGGAGGAGGACACGAGGCGCGCCCCTCGACCCCGCCCTTCGAGACGCTCGCCGCACCGGAGCGGCCACCCGCACCGAGGCCCAGCTCCCCGACCGCGGCGCGCCGACCCTATCCCGGGCGGCCGGAGCCCCGAGAGCGCGTGCGCCCCCCTCCTCCTCCTCCCTCCTCCCTCCTCATCCCTCCTCCTCCTCCTACTCCTTCCTCCTCCCCCTCTCCTCCTCATCCTCTTCCTCCTCCTCCCCCTCCTCCTCCTCCTCCTCCTCCTCCTCCTCCTCCTCCTCCTCCTCCTCCTCCTCCTCCTCCGTGTTGGCCGCGCCTGCCACGTCGGCCTCCCGCGGGGGCCCCCTCCGCGCGCGGGGCTTTTGCAGTGCCGGCCGCTCCCGGGCCCCTCCGCCGGGCCACCCTCGCCACGGAGGAGCTGGGCTCCCGAGGGCAAGGAGTCCCGAGGTGGTTCGCCGTTCCCTGCTCTTCCTGGGGCCCTCCACGGGCCCCACGACGGCCAGGAAACGACGCAGGACGAAGAGCTGGTCCTGGTGGGAGGGCGCTCCAGGACCCCCGTGTGCCTCAGGACCCGCCCCTTTCATGCTAACCACCCTCCGGGATCCTCAGATTGCCTCAGATCCGCGCCTCGGCGAGCTCCCGAAGATGTCCAGCACATCTTTTCTCTCTTTGCATGCATGCTGCTGGCGCGTCATGCTGTTCGTCGTGCTGCTGGCGCACGAAGTGTTTAACATCGGGGTGACCTCGCAACACAGACGAGGCGCCATTGCTTCCTGTTTTGGGGAGGGCGAGTTTGAGAGGGATTCGCCATGCAGCCGGCAGACGCTCGAAGGAAAAACGTGCGCCGCACTGGGAGCGTGAGAACGATTTCCAACGGTGAAGCGGCTGTGATCTTGAAGCTTGGGCCATAGAACTAGGGGCATGATTCAGGCGATATCTCAACTCCAGCAAGGAGCCGCCAATATAGCTGCTGGTTTACCGGCAAGCGTTCGGTCCACAGTATGTCGCAAGGAGGCCTCACGCGAGAGACACATTGGAAAGATGCGCCCTCCATTCTTGCAGCTGTTGACAGTTTCGCACCCCATGATCGTAACATTTGAGGATGTTTCTGGCGACAGCCACTTTTCGAAGCGCAGCTGCCCTCCATCCGCGTAAGTGTGTATGCTGCAAACTCCAGGGTATATGTGCGTGGCATGTAGGGAAACTTTACGCTAGCTCCACAAATCGAAAACAGGTTGCCCTCCCTCCCTGTAGCTGTTGGAAGCGTTCAAGACGAATGAGCGCTGCGCTAAGGCGGGAGCCACATATTGGAACTTCCGACCTCTGTAACAGTTGGAAGGTCTAAACTTTGGGAATTTACAGTGTGCGTTCATCGTCCTTCCCCTACCCGAAGAATCCAGGAGGAGGAGGAGGAGGAGGAGGAGGAGGAGGAGGAGGAGGAGGAGGAGGAGGAGGAGTTAGAGGTGGAGTGGCATCGCCATGCCCCCTGGGTCGGCGTTGTCTTCTTTGTTGTCCTCCATCCCTCAAGCCCCCCTCTCCCGCGCCTGCTTCTTCTCTCTCTCTCTCTCTCTCGCGGGCACTTGGGTGCGAATCGGCGGCTTGGGCGGGCGCGGTATCTTGGCAGCGTCGACACGTGTAGACACGATGACGATGATACTGGCGATGTTGGTGACGACGGTTGTAGTCACGATGAGGATGATAGTGGCGATGACGGCGCCGCTCCCGATCACGCCAACGACGATGACGGCGTCCTCGCATTGGTGATGAAGGTTTTGGAAAGGGGTTCGAAATGCGCGCGCGGCAGACGCGCGACAGTGGCTCTCACGGTATTGGCTCGCATGGTACTGTTTGACACGGGCTGCGCCACCCCGACACGCGCGCAAGGGCGTTCGAACGGTTTCGACATGCGCGCGCGCGAAGCCCGTTTGGCAGCATGTTATGACAATGTTGAAAACTTGGGATACTCTTGGAAATTCGCAATAGCGCGCGCACGTTTTTGTTGAAAACCCGTGTTGGGAAACCCTTGGTGTTTGTATGTTGTTGGGGCTCGATTTTGGAATCTTTCCGAAACCGAAGGCTTTTGAAGGATTTCGGCATGCGCGCGCGACGACGCGCGCGTGTGCACTTCGTCATTTCTGTTGCAAGGGATTCTCGCGACGGCACGCGCGCAATGGCGTTCGAACGATTTCGACATGCGCGCGCGAAGCTCGTTTGGTAGTATGTTCTTGTACATGTTGAAGAACCTGTGGCTTTCTTACGAATTCGCAAGAGCGCGCGCACGCTTGTGTTAAACATCCGTGTTGCGAAACCCTTTGTTTTTGATATGCTTTTTGGACACTCGATTTGTTCATTCCTTCCGAAACCGAAGGCTTTCGAAGGATTTTGGCATGCGCGCGCGACAACGCGCGCGTGTGCACTTTGTCTTTCTGTTGCAAGGGATTCTTGCAAACTTCTGATTGTTGATAAGCGAGTGTGCGAACATATATTTGTTGCAGAGGATGGCGGGGGGGCGATACTGGCCTGGCTGGGATAGTACGAATTCACAGGTCGAATGGAATTTCTGTCAGAATCCCATGTGTTTTACATTGGTTCCGGGGGGGTGGATGACTGCTCGGGGGGGAGGGTGGTAGAATTTATTGTTTTGAGAATTTACCCTGCCGAACTTGAGGTTGGCAACTCCATTGCTCGCGCAATCATGCAACCCACCCACCCGCTAGTTTGCAAAATCCATGCGGACGCGATTGCGATGAGAGTTTGTTGTTGGTTGGTGCATCTCTGCGGCCGCGTTAGCCCGCGCGTGCTCGTGCGCGCAGCGGCCAGGTAGTTTGGCGCAAACGACGCAAACGCGATATCATGGCAGCGCTGACAACGGTAGACACGATGAAGATAGTAGCGATGTTGGCGACGATGTTGGCAACGACGACGTCACGGCCAGTGATGGCGCCGATGCTGATCACGCCGACGACGATGACGGCGCTTTCGCGTCGGTGACGAAGGTTTTGGAGGGAGTTCGACATGCGCGCGCGGCCGACGCGCGACAGTGGCCCGCACGGTTTTATTTGACATTGGTCGTGCCCCCCCCCAGCACGTGCGCGCGCAAGGGCGTTCGAATGATTTCGGCATGCGGCGCGAGAGACCTGTTTGGCAGAAGTCCGTGAACATGTTGAAAATTGTATAGATTGTCTTAAGAATTCGCAAGAACGCGAGCGCAGACTTTCTTGAAAATTTGCGTTGCGAATCCATTTTGTCCACAACCATTGTATGGTGTTGGGTCTTCGTTTTGAAGAGTCAACGCACCGCGTCATTCCTCCTTCTCCCGCTGCCCCCACTCCCTCCTCCCCCTCCTTGCCTCTGCTCTCCGCATGTCAACAATTTCGGCACACCCCTCGCACGTTTTCGTGGCCCCGTAGGGAGCTCTACCGAAGGCTCCAGTATCAGGGTCCGCATGCGTCAACGCCACCCAGGACAGCGCTTCGTGGCCCCACAGGGAGTTTCACCGAAGGCTCCAGTGGCACGGTCCGCGTGCGGGAACGCCACCCAGGACAGCGTTTCGTGGCCCCACAGGGAGCTCCACCGAAGGCTCCAGTGGCAGGGTCCGCATACGGGAACGCCACCAATTTCGGCACACCCCTCACACGGCGCGTGGCCCCGCAAGGGGCTCCACCGAAGGCTCCAGTGGCAGGGTCCGCATGCGCCAACGCCACCCAGGACAGCGCCCCGTGGCCCCATAGGGAGCTTCACCGAAGGCTTCAGTGGCAGGGTCCGCACGCGGGAACCCCACCCATGTCGGCACACCCGTCGCACGGCTCGTGGCCCCAGAGGGAGCTCCACCGAAGGCTCCACTGGCAGGATCCGTCCGCGGGAGCGCCACCCAGGACAGCGCTCCGTGGGAGCTCCACCGAAGGCTGCAGTGACAGGCTCCCGGACCGCATGCGGGAACGCCACCCATTTCGGCACATCCTTCACAAGGTTCGTGGCCCCACAGGGAGCTCCACCGAAGGCTCCAGTGGCAGGGTCCGCATGCGGGAACGCAGCACTTCGTGGCCCCATAGGGAGCTCCACCGAAGGCTCCAGTATCAGGGTCCGCATGCGTCAACGCCACCCACTTCGTTACACCCCTCACGCGGTTCGTGGCCCCACAGGGAGTTTTACCGAAGGCTCCAGTGGCATGCGGGGACGCCACCCAGGACAGCGCTTCGTGGCCCCATACGGAGCTCCACCGAAGGTTCCAATGGCACCGTTCGCATGCGTCAACGATACCCAGGACAGCGCTTCGGGGCCCCACAGGGAGCTCCACCGAAGGCTCCTCTGGCAGGGTCCGCATGCGCCAGCGCCACCCAGGACAGCGCTTCGTGGCCCCACAAGGAGCCCCAACGAAGGCTCCAGTGGCAGGGACAGCGCTCCGTGGCTCCGTATGGAGCTCCACCGGCGGCTCCAGTGGCAGGGTCCACATGCGCCGGCGCCACCCATTCAGGCACACCCCTCACACGGCTCGTGGCCCCACAGAGAACTCCAGCGAATGCCCCAGTGGCAGGGTCCGCAGGCCTCCGCCGAAGGCCCCAGTGGCACCGTTCGCATGCGTCTCCCCCCACCCAAGACAGTGCTTCGTGGCCCCATAGGGAGCCCCAGTGGCACCGTTCGCATGCGTCTCCCCCGCCTAAAACAACGTTTCATGGCCCCACAATGAACCCCACCGAGGGCTCCAGTGGCAGGGTCCGCGTGCGTCACCGCCACCCATGACAGCGCTTCGTGGCCCCATAGGGAGCTCTACCGAAAGCCCCAATGTCACCGTTCGCATGCGTCTCTCCCACCCATGACAGCGCGTCATGGCCCCATAGGAAGCTCCACCGAAGGCGTTAGTGGCGCAGTTCGCACGCGTCCCCCCCACCCATGATAGTGCTTCGTGGCCCCATAGGGAGTTCCAGCGAAGGTCCCAATGCCGCAGTTCGTATGCGCCTCCCGCATCCAGGACATCGCTTCGTGGCCCCATAGGGGGCCCCACCGAAGGCGTCAGTGGCACCGTTCGCATGCGTCTCCAACGCTTCGTGGCCCCACAAGGAGCCCCAACGAAGGCTCCAGTGGCAGGGTCCGCATGCGTCACCGCCACCCATGACGACACCCCCACTAGGGCCTTCGGTGGAGCTCCCTCTGGGGCCACGAAGCGTGTGAGGGGTGTGCCAAAGTGAGTGGGGGCGGGAGGAGGGAGGAGGGGGAGGAGGAGGAGAAGGAGGAGGAGGAGGAGGAGGAGGAGGAGGACGAGGAGGAGGAGAGGAACGCGGGGACCGTCTGTTCAAAACGGGGGCCAAACACCACATGATGGTTGGGAAAACATAAGGGTTTCGCAACACGGAGTTTCAAACAAGCTCGCGCGCGCTTTTGCGAACGCTGAACAGAAGAGAACAACAAAAAGATCCTGCAATGTTGTTACCTATACGACCACCCTTTGGGTGAGAAGGAGATGGGGGGGTGAGGGGGGGGGACCAACATCTGACTCGATCGATCTCACTATCGATTTCACTCAACGGGACACCACGGGGCATCACGGGACACTTGTCGATCTCACTATCGATGTCATTCAACGGGACACCGCGGGCCACCACGGGACAACACGGGACACCGCGGAACATTTCTCGATCTCACGATCGATCTCACGACCGATCTCACTATCGATCTGACTCAACGGGGACACCATAGGACCCCACGGGACACCTCGGGACACCACATCGATCTCACTATCGATCTCACTCAACGGGACACCACGGGACACCACGGGACACCTGTCGATCTCACTATCGATCTCATTGTCGATCTCACTTCTTGTGACACCATCGGACAC